GTTTACATTCCCATGCCTCCAAGAAGAGATTCATTATATATGTATTCAGTCATCCACTTATTAAATTGATTGCCAGATGACTGGGTCATAGTCTTTGCCCTTCAGATGCTTATAATTTAGTAGGAGAAAGAAGACCTTCAGAAAATTAACTTCAATAAATCAATAAATATCAAGTGTTGGCGAGAATGTGGAGAAAAGGGAACCCTCGCACACTGTTGGTGGTGGTATTGTAAATTGGCGCAGCCACTATGGAAAACAGCATAGAGGTGCTTAAAAAAATTAAAATAGAGCTGCCATTCGATCCAGCAGTCCCATTTCTGGGTATTTATTGGGAGAAAATGAAAACACTAACTTGCACTCCACTGTTCATTGCATCGTTATTTTCAATGGCCAAGATATGGAAGCAGCCTAAGTGTCCATTGATAGATGAGTGGATTAAAGAAGATGTGGTGCTATATATATATACAGTGAAATATGACTCGGCCATTAAAAGAATGAAATGTTGCCATTTGCAACAACGTGGATGGACCTAGAGAGTATTGTGCTAAGTGAAATAAGTCAGAGAAAGAAATACTGTATGATCTCACTTATATGTGGAATCTAAAAAGAAACAAAAGCAAAAGAATAAAACACACATAGACATAGAGAACAAGCTGATGGTTGCCAAGGGGGGGGGGCATAGAAAAGAAAAAAAATTTTAAATTGAAATTAAAATGAAAAGTTTTCTTAAAAAGGGGGCAAAGGACTTTGTCTCAGAGTAAAATGGTGCTGAGGAGTCATCTCCTACTCTGAGATTTGGTAAAGTGGGGATAAGCTTGGGCATGAGAAGGGCTTAGCACGAGGCGTGGTGACTCTGCAAGAAAAGGTAGATGGTAGATGCTAATTTAACTACAGGTGAAAGGAGCCCCCATGGTCCAACCTCTCTCCCCAGGGGTGTGGCTCCATCACCTGTGGGACTCCCAAACTCCCTGGCACGTCTGCAGCAGGGGCGGGAGGGACAGATACGAAGGCATCAGATGAAAAGAAACAACTTCCACGTCAGGCAGCGTGTCACAGAGCTCCGGTGGGGTTTAAGGGAATCCGTCACTGACGGAAGAAATGAGTTTTGAGTGAGATGTGTACACACACAGAAGGCAGACTTCGCAGGGTGGGGGGTCGGCTGATGAAGCAGCTGCCCCTCTCGGCTACGGGTTCCTCCGGCATCGCCCCTTCGGACCACCCTGTCCTGACCGTAGCACGGCAGCCTCCCCTCTAATGCAGGACACGCAGCTCTCCACGTTTCCATCGAGGCCGCGGAAGGACACTGCAGAGGCGGATAGAAAGGGCCCTTCCCTCAACCGGGCCAGCCAGGCCCTGGGATGAGCCGGAGCCTGTGCTCGCAGGAGGGGCCTCGCCCAGCCTCTCTGACCCTCTCCCTGTCCTCCCCTGACTCTCAGTGGGGGTCAGCCAAGCCTCAGTCCTCAGCCTCTTCCATTCACTCACACAGCCGAGTCCTCAGTTCCTCGAGCTTTAAAGTGCATAGGAGTCACCTAGGGATCTTGTTAAAGGCAGGTTCTAATTGGGGGGCCTGGGGAGAGCCTGCCAGTCTACGTTTCTAACCTGCTCCCCGTGACACCGATGCTGCTGGCCCATGGACAGCAGTTTTAGTAGGAAGATTGTCACTTACGGTTGACAGTTCTCAAGCTAGTGGTGTTCTTTGAACATGGGACTGAGCCCAGCAACCAAAAAGAAATGGGCCTTAGTGAAATGTGTTGTGTGTTTGTTATATACCAGGCTCTGTGCTAATTTCTTTCTAGGGACCGTTGCTTTGAACCTGTATACACTCCTGTGATATGAGGTGGATACTAAGATTGTTCTGATCTCTCAGAAGAAAATACCTTCGGACTTGAAGGGGGCTGGGCTCTTCTAGCTCTGGAGAAAGGTGACCCAGACCCGAGGCTGCACAGCGCCCAGGGCGGTGCCGGCAGGTCGGGAATGCTTCCTAATTAGTCACGGGGGCTGCGGCCTCCCCTGGGCTTCAGGAAAGGTCCTCCCTGACCTTGAGACGTGGGAGGAAATTCGGAGCCTGGAGCAGCAGCTGACCCCTCACCCACCTGCCAGACACGCACCAAAATTCCAAAAATGCCTCTCTGTCAAGCTTTTCAACACTTCACAATATTTTGACACAAGAAGGAAAAAGGAAAATGCTTTGAAACACTTCCTTGGAAACTTGTCCTCAGACCATGTGACTAAATTGAAGTTTAGTCATAGGGTTGCAGTTTAACATATGCAGTTACTATAGCAACAGTTACTAAGGTTTCCTTAGTAACAGTTGCAAAAATATTCTGGCCCCAATTAATAATACATTTTATCGCTCTTTCTGCCCTACACTGAACAACCCAGTTTTTTTGGCCAAGGACCAGATAATTCAGGTGGTGTCGTTTGCACAACATAGATATCGTTTGCATGAGGTGAATCGGGTTGGAAACAAATGAAAAGAGAGGCTAGTTTCAAGTATTATAGGAACCGGGTCTAAAAAGTCAACTGGCAGGCTAATGGGAATGGAGTTTGCAGAGCCCGGGAGCTCACTGGTAGACCCCGCCCTAGACCCCAGTGTGCCCGGGAGGCCTTTGTGTTTGGAGAAGGGATAAGGCAGGAGACTGGGCTTGTTCACAGAAAAGATGAACCAAAAGGGTGGGGCATGGGACATGAGATTTCTTTCATGCCCCTGCTTGGCGTGTCCTAGGTGGCTCCAGAAGGCCTGTAGGTATGTGAATGCAGCAGTCCTTGTGCGGAGTGCCGCCTGGTTTACCGGGTGTGTCCTTCACTGAGATGTGTCCTTGGAGTTGCTCCTGCAGTGTCGGACGCTGCTGTGCCTTAGCTTGCAGAATCCTCTCGGCCATTCAGAAGGGTCGTCCGTGTGTGACCAGGCTGCCCAAGTGACAGCTGGGCCTTTTGAAGGTTTCAGTTGCCTTGGCACATGGGACTCAGACCTTGATGCTGTTTGTCCCCACCCAGCTCCAAGCGAGCCAGCCACCCAGTGCTGGCGGG